AAAAAATTTTTGTCACAAAAAAATTTGGTCAAAAAAATTTTAGTCAAAAAAATTTTTGAAAAAAAATTTTGATCAAAAAAATTTTGGTCAAAAAAATTTTTGGACAAAAAAATTTTGGTCAAAAAAATTTTTGGTCAAAAAAATTTGGGTCAAAAAAAATTTATTCAAAAAAATTTTGACCCAAAAAATTTTTGAAAAAAAAATTGATCAAAAAAATTTTTGGTCAAAAAAAATTGGGTCAAAAAAAATTTATTCAAAAAAATTTTGACCCAAAAAATCTTCGAAAAAAAAATTTGGTCAAAAAAATTTTTGTTCAAAAAAATTTATGGTCAAAAAAATTTTTGGTCAAAAAAAATTTTGGCACAAAAAATTTTGGGAGAAAAATTTTGGTCAAAAAAAATTTTGGCCCAAAAAATTTTTGGTCAAAAAAAATTTGGTCAAAAAAATTTTGGAGGAAAAATTTTTGAGAAAAAAATTTTTGGTCAAAAAAATTTTGGCCCAAAAAATTTTGGTCAAGAAAAATTTTGGCCCAAAAAATTTTTGGTCAAAAAAATTTTGGTCAAAAAAATTTTTGGTCAAGAAAAAAATTCAAAAAAATTTTGACCCAAAAAATCTTCGATAAAAAAATTTGGGGTAAAAAAAATTTGGGTCAAAAAAAATTTATTCAAAAAAATTTTGAGCCAAAAAATTTTTGAAAAAAAAAATTGGTCAAAAAAATTTTTGGTCAAAAAAAATTTTGGTCAAAAAAAAATTTGGTCAAAAAAATTTTGGTCAAAAAAATTTTAGTCAAAAAAATTTTTGAAAAAAAATTTTGGTCAAAAAAATTTTTGGTCAAAAAAAATTTTGGTCAAAAAAATCTTTAGAAAAAAATTTTTGGTCAAAAAAATTTTGGTCACAAAAAAATTTGGTCAAAAAAATTTTTGGAAAAAAATTTTTGTCACAAAAAATTTGGTCAAAAAAATTTTAGTCAAAAAATTTTTGAAAAAAAATTTTTGGACAAAAAAATTTTGGTCAAAAAAATTTGGGTCAAAAAAAATTTATTCAAAAAAATTTTGACCCAAAAAATTTTTGAAAAAAAAAATTGGTCAAAAAAATTTTTGGTCAAAAAAAATTTTGGTCAAAAAAAATTTTGGTCAAAAAAATTTTGGTCAAAAAAAATTTTAGTCAAAAAAATTTTTGAAAAAAAATTTTAGTCAAAAAAATTTTTGGTCAAAAAAAATTTTGGTCAAAAAAATTTTTGAAGAAAAATTTTTGGTCAAAAAAATTTTGGTCTCAAAAATTTTAGTCAAAAAAATTTTGGAAAAAAAATTTTGGTCAGAAAAATTTTTGGAAAAAAATTTTTTGTCAAAAAAATTTTTGGCAAAAAAAATTTTGGTCAAAAAAATTTTGGTCGAAAAAATTTTTGGTCAAAAAAATTTTAGGAAAAAAATTTTGGGATAAAACATTTTGGTCAAAAAAATTTGGGTCAAAAAAAATTTATTCAAAAAAAATTTGACCCAAAAAATTTTTGAAAAAAAAATTTGGTCAAAAAAAATTTTGGTCAAAAAAATTTTGGTCAAAAAAATTTTGGTCAAAAAAATTTTAGGTCAAAAAAATTTTTGGTCAAAAAAAATTTTGGAAAAAAAATTTTTGGTCAAAAAAAAATTTTGGTCAAAAAAAATTTTGGTCAAAAAAATTTTGGTCAAAAAAATTTTAGGAAAAAAATTTTGGGATAAAACATTTTGATCAAAAAAATTTTGGTCACAAAAAAATTTGGTCAAATTTGGTCAAAAAAATTTTCGTTCAAAAAAATTTTAGTCAAAAAAATTTATTCAAAAAAATTTTGGCCCAAAAAAATTTCGAAAAAAATTTTAATCAAAAAAATTTTTGGTCAAAAAAATTTTTGGCCAAAAAAATTTTGGTCACAAAAAATTTGGTCAAAAAAATTATTGGCCAAAAAAATTTTTGGTCAAAAAAATTTTGGTCAAAAAAATTTGTTCAAAAAAATTTTGGTCAAAAAAAATTTATTCAAAAAAATTTTGACACAAAAAATTTTCGAAAAAAAAATTTGGTCAAAAAAATTTATGGATAAAAAAATTTTTGTTCAAAAAAATTTTGGTCAAAAAAAATTTATTGAAATTTTAGGAAAAAAATTTTTGGTAAAAAAAAATTTTGGTCAAAAAAATTTTGATAAAAAAAAATTTTGGTCAAAAAGCTGTTGGTCTAAAAAAGTTTTAGAAAAAAATTTTTGGAAAACAATTTTGGTCTAAAAAATTTTGAGAAAATAAATTTTGGAAAAAAAATTTGACCAAAAAAATTTTTGGAAAAAATTTTTGATCCAAAAAATTTTGGTAAAAAAATTTTTGGCCAAAAAGTTTTGGAAAAAAATTTTGGTCAAAAAAATTTTTGGTCAAAAAAATTGTAGTCAAAAAAATTTTAGTCAAAAAGTTTTTGGAAAGAAATTTTGGTCAAAAAAATTTTGGGAAAAAAATTTTGGTCGAAAAAATTTTTGGTCAAAAAAATTTTGGTCAAAAAAATTTTAGTGAAAAAAAATTTTGGTCAAAAAAATTTTAGGAAAAAAAATTTGGGAAAAAACATTTTGGTCAAAAAAATTTTGGTCCAAGAGAAATTTCGGGAAAAAAAATTTTGGTGTAAACAATTTTTGTACAAAAAAATTTTTGGAAAAAAATTTTTGTCAAAAAAATGTTGGTCAAAAAAATTTTGGTCATAAAAATTTTGGTCAAAAAATTTTTGGTCAAAAAATTTTAGTCAAAAAAAATTTTGGTCAAAAAAATTTTAGGAAAAAAATTTTGGTCAAAATAAGTTTTGTAAAAAAAATTTTGGGAAAAAAAAAATTGTGAAAAAATTTTTTTTAACAAATTTGCTTGCTTGGATAAATATTAATTCAATTCATTTTATGTGGGTGGGTAGAGCATAGTCACCTGGGGCATGGAAATTTTTTGGAAAAACCATGGACTATAGTTTTATGGGAAAAAAATTTTGAAAAGAAACCTGGATATGGTCTTTGATTTTTTGGGAAAGATTTTGAAGACAAAAATTTGGGGAAAAAAATTGGGAAAAACCATGGATATAGTTTTAGGGGAAAAACCATAGATATAGTTCTTTTTTATAAAAAAGTTTTTGGAAAAAAATTTTAGGGGAAAAAAGTTTGGAAAAAAATTTTGGGTAAAAATAATTAAAGAAAAAAATTGGGGAGAAAAAATTTGGAAAAAAATATATTTTAGAATAAAGCTTGAAAAAATACCTTTAATAAAAAGAAAATAAATAAATGAATAAATAAAAAAACAAGAGTGGGCATCAATAGTCTGAGAAATTCTTTCAAAATTTTCAAAAATAAAAACCTTGGACCATTGTCTTAGAAAAAAAACTTCCCAATTTTTTTCAAAAATAATTCAAAATTGAAAAAAAAACTTTGAACCATTAATTCAATTGTAAAAGAAACATAACAAAACATATTTGTACAGTGATCCAATTAACAAAAATTTGATAAAAAATAATAAAATTTATACAAAATTACTAAACACTTTTTTGATTCCATAGCACAAATGTAATATATGATTATAATATATGATTATAATATATAGTACTTACCTTTACAATTGTGAAATATCCAAATGAAAAAAAAAAAATTGATTGTTAACACAGTAGCCACAAATGCTTCCTATATACACCTATATCTATATATACATCCTATATATATAGAAGTTAAAAACTAACAATCACTTAAAATTTCTTTTCGCACCAGTAATTAGGTGAACATAGAAAGATACTCAAACATATTTCAAGATTTTTATTTCAAATTCACAGACTTGTTGCATATTAAATATTTGAAACCGTAACTGGTAAATTTGAAAATAATAAGCTACCAAATACTTGCCTAGTACATTGGTATCGGCCATACCACTGATCACATTTTCAGATTTTCCACAACTTCACATGATCACTGACATAAAAAAAAAACTTAAGACTATTAATATACATTCACAATATTAAACTAAATTCATATTAGATATTTAAAAATCATAGAATTGATAAATACTTGTACTTATTCTTGAAAAAGAATTGCACTAAATTAGTCACATGCACAAGTACTCAAAAATCAATAAATTAAACATATTTTATCTTAAATTCCACTACATTGTTAATAGCAAGGGGAGAAAATTTAAGGTATATCAGTCTCTATGGCAGCAAAGCAGTTGATCATTTCAAAATTGATTTCTAAAATAAATTAAAAACAATCCTCATTCACTAGAAATTTGTGTATATTCAATGATTTCACAAACATTTAATTTAAAAACAAATTAATAACAAAACATATGATTTTTAATAATTATCCATAATTATAACTAAGTAAATATGCAAATAACCTCATGGAGGAACAAATTTCTTAGCTGCTGCGCTACCAAGTGGACGCGAGTTAGAAAGAATCTAAAAAATATCGAGTCCAATAATTTAAATTTTTTTGGAAATAAATTTGTATGATTTGGTTGAAATGTTGAATTGTAAATACTAGAAAGAAGGAATATAGGATAAGGACATATGAAAATCTTACATTAAAATATTCATTTTCTCTGTGGTCTGGTTTACAAATAAAGTAAAATAAAATAGAATAAGTACACAAGTTTTAACTTAAGAATTTATAAGTTTAATAAATTAAATTGCCCATATAGATATCGTATTCAAGTCAGCTTAAATGTAATTTAGTACTGGGTACATCATGAGTGGAGTACAGTCGTAGTTCGAATTAACAACATTTAGAGTTTTACAGTTGGGTAGAGCATTGCTCATGCAGCTCACACAGTTCGTTAACACTGAACATTATTACAACCAAATTACTTATACAGAAAATGATAAATTATAGTACATGATTCCTATTTAGTGATGATTTACTGTAAACCAGACAAACATTGTTAAACTTAGTAATTTTAAATTCAATCTTGAATCAGGCTAACAGTGAACATGAACAGACGTAAGGAGAAAAACAATTTTACTTGCGGAGGACTATGAGGAATGGAGACAATTACCAAATAACGAAGGGATTGTATAAGGGTGAATTAAGGATACGGAAGTGGATAGGTAAGGTTTTCAGGACTAGTTGTCCCCGCCTTCCTGAGGCTCATCTCCATCACCCTGCGTGTCTGATGTCCACAGTGTTAAGTTATCTCGCAGCAATTGCATTATGAGAGTTGAATCTTTATATGAATCTTCATTTAGGGTATCGAGCTCTGCTATCGCATCATCGAATGCCTGCACATTAAGCATGTCATTAATACACATATATGCTCATTAAACTATATAAAAATATTTGGAATTTATACACATGTTAGGAGCAGATGGGCAACATGACTAAATGCATCAAAACTGTTAGTACACTTGCCATATCAAGGCAAATACCAGAGCATAAACATACAGAACGCATAAATATATATTCTAAAGTTAGTGGAGTCGAAATCACTAGGAATATATTAATATATTTATATTAGAACACACACACAACAAGATCTGGATGTTCTAATTTAATATTTAGATCAAAACCATTCACAAAGAATAGAAAATAGTGAACCTGTTTAGCTAAATGGCAAGCGCGCGCGGGCGAATTAATTATCTCATAATAAAATACTGAAAAGTTTAATGCCAGTCCCAGGCGAATTGGATGTGTTGGCTGCATTTTTGCCTTTGCTATATCAAATGCTTCTTGGTATGCCTTTTGAGAATCTTCTACCACCGCTTTGAAAAAAGTAAATTAAAATTAAAATCCCGTATTTATATATGAAAACAACATAAGCTAGTCATGTCTGCCAATCTGCTGAAAAAGAAAATATATTAAACCTGTTTCGCAAGTTGACACGCTTTATCAGGTGAATTTAGTATTTCATAATAAAATACGGAAAAGTTAAGTGCAAGACCCAATCTAATAGGATGTGTAGGCTGCATTTTGGCCTTGCTGATCTCAAATGCATCTTGATAAGCTTTCTGTGAATCATCTACGACGGCTGTGGAAGATGGATAAAATGTTTTGAAAAAAAATGTTCCTTTTATGATAAAACTCAAACTACGAATTGTAACAAAAATAAATTTGCACAGAGTAAAACTGAGTACTTTCAAATATATTTTTGAAAATAATTTATATACTTACTGTTACGGGTTTCTCCTGTTGCTACTTCAGCTAGATACCTGTAGTAATCTCCCTTCATCTTAAGATAGAAAACCTTACTTTCGGCATTACTAGCTTTAGGAATAAGGTACTTGTCAAGAAGGCCCTAAAAATTTCATGATATTTATTAATCTTGTAACAGGAAAATAGACTAAACAATTATATTGATTAATGATTAAATGTATGTATATATATATATATATATATATATATATATATATATATACATACACACACACACACACACACACACACACAGATATGCAAACATGCCTCAGAGAAAAATCACAGTTCATGTAAAAATTAACTTAGAATGTTGAAAGAGAACAATAATAAGTCAAAATAAGAAAATTATTTTCCTGTTTTACATTAAATTAAACTGCTAAAAAGCTATAAAACAATAAAAAATTCCAACTTCATTAATACAATCTACTTCAAAAAAAAATTACAAATAATGTATAGGTTGAGTCATAATAATGCATTGCAACCCTCTTTATTGGTTCAGAAAGCTGCAAGATTACTATTTGGTAACGACACTTACCAGTACGTCGTAACAAATTTCACGAAGTTCCTTTTCAACTTTTTCCCGATACTCCTTTGCCATCTGTTGTTTTCTTTCGGAACCCTCTGTTTTTTGTTCGATGGAGGAGATAACACGCCATGATGAACGCCGCGCCCCAACCACATTTTTATAGGCAACAGATAAAAGGTTCCTTTCTTCATTGGATAATTCCACACCGGTTTCCGTAACAGCCTTCATCGCCGCAGCCATATCATCGTATCTGATAAAACAAAAGTTTTAATTGAGATTCAAACAACAAATTTTTAAAAAGGTGTATTTCTTGATGGCATGCACCTGTAATTTACACACACACACATACACAAATATATACACACTTATCTGTGAACATGCAAATACATACATACACACACACACAGTCATAACTTGTAACTTCTTTCAACTCAATGGACAGCTTTTGAATATAATTTTTTTAACTTATTAACACTGCATGTGAATAAATTAAATAATCATAAAAATCGCATAACCTTCATACATTTTTTAAAAAATTCAATTTCTAAGGTATTCAGAATTAGTTAATTTTGATATCAAAGAATTCTTTGTTAACTAATAATAATATATTAACTTTCTTTACTTCATGCGACTTTTCCAACTTATTATTACCAATACAAAGAGTAGTATTTTTTCCCCTAAACTACATATAAATTTATCATACTTTAATAATTTCATATAGATTCTCCTAGTTCAAATTAATTTAATAGCCTATTCTATTTTAATACTGCGCTTATTTCTTTTTGAAGATAACGAATATAATAACTATCAAAAATTATTCATACATAAAATAAATATATGAAGTAGCATTATCAATGCTGCTACGAAATAAATCTAAGAAAATATGTATGTACTTACATAAGTATGTACTAATTTCAATTACATAAGTAACTGAAAAACAATTTTTGGTGATACCTATGTACATATTTATTATTTTTAATAAACGCATAAAATACATACATACATAAAATACATACGAATATATACATACATTCACTCATATATATATATACATACATTCACTCATATATATATATATATATATATATATATATATATATATATATATATATATATATATATACATACCAAGTAGTTTTTTTTATAGATAAATTTAAGTTCGGCATATGGTAAAGCTTATACAAAGAACATGCATGCAGTACAAAATCAAATAGAATTAAGAATTTACCTTTCGGCCTGCTCTGCCAGTTTGGCTCGTTGCACCAATTCTTCCTTGTCGACCGTAGACATAGTGGTGCCGTGCGTGTGAGTGCGAGGGACTTTAAATAATCAATGTGGCCCCTGAAATTATGATTTTGTTATAGTTACTTTAGAAGATATAGACATTCATATAGGGTGTTCAGCAATACCACTAACACAAAGTTGTGCATTTATATTATGAACAAGATCAAATATCAAGCAAGAATAAAATTATTGAGCTCTTCATGTAAAACTAAATGATCGCACCAAAATACAACATTGGTTTTTTAGTGTCTCTGCTGAAGGTCGTTGCAATACAACTAGAAATGATAATATACTTGGAAAATCAGAAAATTTGCAAATGGTCGGTAATACCGAATATAATGTAAAAATGTAGTCTTCAATCTCATAATTGAAATTTTTCACTTTAAATAGAGTAGGACTCATAATATTTAAATAGATGATGTAGATGTAGACGTATAGACGTATACGTAGTATAAATATGATGCGCATAAATAAAAAGAAAAGCATAATCAGTGAAGAGATAAAAAGTATAATGATTTAGATATTATTGCCGCCGTAATCCATTTGCAATAAGTATAAATGTTTAAGTAACAAATTTAACGTATCAATCAATAAGAGTTGAGTATCCAAAAACTCAATTTTTGCGAAAACTTTAGTATAATTATATACTACCAATGTTTTTGTAACAAATAAAATTTTAGAATATATTTTAATACGTAGCTAAGTACGTACTTACGTATCCACAAATTTCCTTCAGCATGAACGATTACTAAGATCGTACAAGAATATTGCGCATGTAACATTCACATATAAATAATTTCTATAATACAAAGTTTCACTGTATACATAAAACTAATTATGAGCACTATTTACGTGGGGTATAAAGAGTTTTAACTACAAACGAATATTTAGGAAAACGGAGATGTTACCGGCCGGCTGGAGCTCGGCACTTAATGGGGTGGATGTTAACGGTGTTTTGAGCAAGTGCCGTATATGCTGCGTTCTACGCTTGCTTACCAACCCTTCCCAAACTTCGGGGCAAACACTGGAAACTCCAAATTGAAGTAGTAACAATTATTCAATACTTTTTAACAAATATTACAGATAAATTTTAAATTTTAAACTTCAACCATTGTTAGCAAGCAAGCTGTTATATATAATTTTACAAGAAATTTACTATTAAAATTGAAGATTAAAATGTTTCACAAATGATATTTTATTGACAAAAAACAGTCGCTTCGATAAGTTCAAAACGCACATGATATATAATGTCCGAAAAAGATATCAACGTAATGAGGGTAATCGAACTTTGCATTATGAAGTAAAATACTTGATCAGATAAGAATAATTAAGTGATGCGTTTTGTAACAAGCTACAAGGTGATTGTGTTTTAGATGACATGCGTTATATAAATTTTGTAAGGCAGCTACAAACACCTTTACACACAATATTCAATATCTAATTCAATAAAGCATTAAATATAACTATAATCAAACGTTTTATAAATATTTAGAATATTTCATATTTAGTTGATAACTGCAGAAAATATAAATTTCATTAGTAATTGTATAGTAAATTAAATTGCCTATCGCTCTGAATCTTGTCCATAATTAGACAAAACAAATTGCCAGGACAGTAATGATTTCAACTCATATCTCCTATACAGTATAATGTTCTTAAATTCATTTCGGTCATGATTTGTATAAGAATATATTTTAAGATAAAACTAGCTGTTATTTTTAACAAAGCACAGGCAAAATACGGTATACAAAAAACTTTTTTTAAAACATGAAGCTAAATAAAATGACGGTTATGCCGTAGACGATGGTCGCTGTACTTACGACTGATTTTGTCGCCAGAATAAATAAACATGCAACGCAGAGAAGCAAGTTTTCAAATATATAATTGTTTATAAAATTTTATTACATAATTTCGAAAAACTGATTCGGGCCATAAATAGATGCTAAGAATGCTAGTCTTTGGGAAGCACATGATGAAGGCTATTATTACGAGCACACGCGCCAGTAAAGGAGAGCAAGAGAGGTGCACGTGCGCGCGAACTGTGCTACAAATATTGATCGCGGCGCGCAGACCAGACGGATCGCTACTCCCCCACCCACATTTTATTCGTGAGAGTATCTCACGATAAAATCCATTCCTAGCTTTAAAAAAATCGCTAGAAAAAATATGCACCAATTCTACGCAGATAGAAACCATATATTGCAATTAACTTGATAAATAAAATTGATAAATGAGGTATTTGCTAAACCGACCTCAAAACGACTCGTAGCACCGTTATGGAATGTAATGGCTCATGGATTTATACACAATTGACATGTTCACACAAACAGCCAGGAAAATCAATAAAAAGCGAAAAAATCACGAAACGATTAAATAATGCACTAAGAAATGAAATTTCAAACATTTCTATTCCGTTAGAAAAAAATCAAAGCAATGGTGAACAGAAAACTACTAATAAATCGTGCATGAATTGATAAATTATATTTTGTGCTATTTATAACCAGTATTAAAAATAGAAATGAAATTATAGAGTGCGTCGTTCCCCATAGCAACATTGATTACCCAAGTCACCGAACATTAAATTTCTTGCAGTTAAATGAAAAATGGGTGCAAAAAACGCAACTACCATATACTAAAAAATAGTATAATATGATAGCAAACAGTATAACATGATCAACCAATATAAGACTATACTATAACGATCGAGTGGTCTTTCATGCGATGGACGCTTATTAACGCACGACGAAACAGGGTCACGTATACTTCGATTTATTGTAGCCACCCTCGTACACCTGCAAAGCAAGCAAATTTCTATCTGGCGTGGGGTTGGCAACCGCACTGTAAAATCTACTACGCTTTTAAGCAGCAATCCATAAACGTACAACACCGATACATTCCTATACATAAATAAATGTAAAACGGAACAATTTCTGAATGCAATAAATAATCAGTTGACATTATTCGATAATCGAATGAAAAAAAATTAACATAAATATGCGAAGAACAGCAACTGTTGCAAATTTATACCTGCGCATGGTAAATATTATAGATGTATCGAAACGCTTTTAATATACTATACTTTGCAATGAGGCATGAGCACAGTAGGGAAAGACTGAATAACATGAGAATAAAAGGACATAACTATGAAAATCATTTAAAATGTGCTCGAAGTTATTTTGCAGTTTCATATTAATTTGAATGTAGCCATTTTCAATTGATATAATACTAGATATCCATTAAAATCGCAAATGTCAACCCCTAATATTGCATAGAGATAAACAGTGCATGGTCAATAAATGCGGACAGTACAGTATGCATATTGAAATGCAGATAACATGAGCAAGGTCGAGCAGAATGCGATGAAGTGCAAATAATCGATTTGTGTTACACATGCAAAAGAATATGTATCATATTCGATCCTGTCACAAGCAAACACAAACACACACACGCACACACGCGCACACCGCACCCGTTCGAACGAACATTAAGCATCGACGGTCGCGGCGCCCAACCCAACGCATACAGGTGGAATGATGATGGAAATTGATACAAAATGCGTCGAGCCGTCACATCGTCACACAATGTTAAGATGACGTAAGACGCCTCTCGAAAATTCATTCTGCACCCAACTCAAACTAAAGTCACTGACATCATAGCAACACCGTCGCTTTCGATTGCATTCGGCACCGCAACATAATACTAATACTACTGCCATTGACAGCGATGCCGATCGATATCAATCACGAGGCGGATAAATAAAAATGCATCCAAATATATAAGAGTTAACTAGGGGCGTGGCACACTTACGCACCCACGATTACGATTGCGTTTACTTCTCCAAGTAAAATTAAAAGTGCACGCAAGGCCGATGATGCAATTATGTCCCCAACTCACTATACAATTGATCCATCTAAGACCAACAGTAATTATGATTGATACATGGTTGACAGATGACAAATCATCCAGCTACTAGAACTACACTGAAGAACGAACCCCAACAAGCCAAACACGTCACATTTCAGATCAAAAGCTTCTATAGCCATGTGCAAAATCACTTTGCCCATCGTGATCGAGATGCATACAAGATCGCAAACTATGCAGTCACAGAAATATGCATACAGCATAACAATATTAAGACAAAGCTGAACTTAATATATTTCTGTATATTAAATTCTAGAGGTCATACGACGGCTATTAGTGATTATATATATACTGCGCAAAAGCGTATACCAAAATTAAGTAAATTCCTAAGCAGCAACACGTACACTTGTATACTTGTACCTTAATAAACACGACTATATTAATAAAAACAAATTTTTCACACAACGTTCATGCCGAAATTAATTCCAAAAAAACGTAGAGGAGGTTATACGTCTGTTCCACCGGCAATCATAAAATGGCTGCGGGGACACTCCTTCAATGCGTCACAAATAAAGCGTTCACTATAATAATTTATTTGTCCAGCACATAACACAATATTAAACAATGCATAACAGACGTAGATTGAATGAATCCTACTTACTTTTGGCAGGGTAGATTTGAAATTTGACACAATTTAATTGCACGAAACTACACACTATCAATATATTTCTCCTGATGTTGGCGCTCACTACTTGCGTATAGACCGAAGGGGAAAGGAGACGAACGACGAACGACGAAGCTTCGATTGGACTCGGCCGAGGGGTCCACACGTCTTGATCTGTGGAGGAAGCGGATCCGAATGGCCTCAATTGATGGTGAAGTTGAACGCAAACTTCAAATATGCATCGACATTTTCATATCATTTTAATTAATGATAAATTACGTCAACTGAATTAAAAATAAATTTTGAATGAGGAAATTATGAAATTCTATTTTTTGTTATTTTAGATAATGAATCATTCTTTTGTTTGCAACTTGTACACAGTATACTTGATTGATTTCCATGCAACAACAATAACAAAAGAAACATTTATCAAAACTTTTGTTTAGTAAAAATAATTTCATTTATTTTTTATTTTATGTTTATCAAATACTAATTGTCTAATAGCAGATAAACAATTTTAATACCAACATGAGAAACGCCCAAATATTCACCATAGCCCTCGTGTGTCCCTCATTACTACATGTGACAGCAATAACCTAAAATACTTTTTTCAATTTTTCTTAATGTCATTACTGTTTAAACATTTTACTTTGAATTAATGACTGTGTATATGTTGTGAATATATTTATAAACGTGCACTCAATTTTACAGTTATTTAAACTTATTGCAGATACAAGTTTTATTCTATATTTAGTTAATATATATTAACTTCTAAAAATGCCAAAATCCAAACGTGATAAGAAAAGTAATTTTGTGTTTTTTTTAATTAATATATTAATATATATATGTATATATATATATATATATATATATATAATATTGTACTCTTACTGTTTTTCAGTATCCCTGACGAAAACTGACAAAAAGGGTTTAGCATTAAAACAACAAATAGTAAACGACATAAGATCATGCGTTGAAAAATACTCTAGAATATTCTTATTTTCCGTAAAAAATATGAGAAATATTCAATTAAAAGAATTAAGAGCAGAATGGAATCATTCAAGGTTTTTCTTTGGAAAAAATAAAATAATGGCACTAGGTCTTGGAAGAAGTGAGCAAGATGAAGTGGAGGATAATTTACATAAAGTAACTATACAAATATGTACAAATTTCTTATAAATGTATTTAATTGAAATATTGCATGTGAAGATGAAATTTAATACGTGAGCAATTTTTTTTAAATAGATTAATTCATTCTATTTTATAGCTCTCTTCAAATCTACAAGGACAATGTGGTTTATTATTTACTGAAAAATCGAAGGAGGAAGTTGTTTCTTGGTTTAGTACTTTCAGTACACAAGAATATGCAAGATCTGGTTTTGTTGCTAATGAAACAATTATATTGCCAGAAGGACCCATGGAACAATTTCCACATTCCATAGAGCCTCATCTGAGGCAGCTTGGTCTACCTACAAGCTTACAGAGGGGAGTAGTTACACTTTTAAAAGAGCACGAGGTGTGCCGAAAGGGAGCTGTTTTAACACCAGAACAAGCAAGAATATTAAAACTAATTAACAGACCTTTGGCGGAATTTAAACTTCAAATAAAATGTGTCTGGTCGAAAAATGAAGGGTTTGAAATGTTATGTGAGGAAAGTGTGGAAGCTGAAGAAGAAATGATGGATGAAGACGATGATTAATTAATATTTTTGTAAGCCATTAAAATATATTATAAAGACCACAATGGTATTTTTATTTTACATTTTATTTATTTTGTTTTACTGAACAGCTAATTTAATAACTTAAATTTATAGGATAAAATATTTACATAAAATTAAATGAAAATAAAATATTCAAAAGCACTTTCGAATAATTTTATCTACAAAGAACTTGATATCCAGTATAATATAAGTAAAAATATAAGTATTCCAGATTTATATGTTGTGTTTCAGTACATTAGATTTGATAATACTTACTGAAACATCCATTTTTCTTGTATCTCTTTCCCACAATTAGGCATTACTTTTTCACTGGTGAACTTTTTTCTCATTCTTCAATTTGTTTTTATGAAATGCAAGTCTATGAGAACTTCTCTATGCATGTAATGTAGCCTGTCAAGTAAAGTTGTCAGCAGTAGCTACCTGATTTATCAAATTCTCTTGTGAACTCAAAATGTTTGTAGTACTTATCAGTTTCAACAGATGAAGAAATACTTTTTACATAACAAATTACAATTGAGAAATTGATTTCATAGAAGTACAGAAAATTCTTGATCAAATATTAATTCATTTGCTCTATTTTACTGCCAGTCTTAGTACTTTTATTTGCATAATATGTAATCTATCTGTAATTACTCATTGCTACAAAACATATTCATAATTTAATTCAAATTTATTTAGCGCATTACGTAGTTCAAATTTATTAGGGATTAACTAAGTATTCTCGCAGATAAGAGAAATGTGAATATATATTAACAACCTTGCATTTTGCCAAGTTGTATAGTTTTGGCAATGGATATACAAAGTTGGATTTATTTTTGTTATAAATGTAATCAAATTTCACAATGTCAAATAGAAGCGCTTTTAGACTGATTATCAAGTAGTAACTTGCAAAGAAAATAGTTTTTATCTCACAATCATAAAAAATCAATTGAACAACATCAACTATAGAGTTGTTGTGGCAACATTATATGAAAGTTTCAAAAAACTGTCTAAGTATGTTTGAACATTCCAAACTAATGTTTAATTTCACATTTAATTGAAATCAAGTTAAGTAAGTTCAATTATTTGCGAACAAAACCTTTATTTATAAAACTACAAATAAAATTCTAAAATAACACAATATAAAATTATTTAATTTAAAGTCTATATCACAATATAAATGGTAATCAAATTTATATAATAAAAATTTAAAGCAATATTAACATAATCAACAATAGTATTTGCATTTCGACGTTACAAACTTTCACAGTTCAGGAAATAAATCTTACTAGATTTAATTGGACTCACAAGATACAAAAAGCCGATTTATGAAGCGACAAATACATATACTTGTTGTAGAGCTTCATTTTAAGACAATGCTTTACTACATCTAACATTTAATTACTTATAGAATTTTCTGGAATGGTTGGCAATGGTGATTGTCCTCTAGAGCTTCCTTTTGATGAATTTGATGTATTACTGCTTTCAGGTATAGGAAGTGGAGGAACATCTGGCAAAGGATCACGCCAATATATAAAATGAGAAAATTCAGAAGCATCTTCCAACAATGGAGGAAATAATTGATCCACTATGAAACTCATGTTAGAATATCTGAAAAATGAAATATGTTTCTCTAACATAACTTCCACATCATTTTATAAAGGCTGATATATTGAGATTTTACTTCATAGTATATAAAAACTTTACCATTCAATGAAATATTATTATTTAATGAGAGAGATAAAATCATACACCAACATTACATGACATTTGTTAAATGATTAATTTCCAACAATCTGCCTATGGCCTTATAAAATATCATAATATTTTAGCACACCGTGAGTTACGAAACGTAGCAATGCCTTTGCTACAAAATATGGATTTATACAACATGGAGTGACACATTTTTCTGGACATACAGTTGATTTGTGCAACACTCATGTAAATGCCAATCATATGAAGTTTTATGTAATCCATAATGAATAGATAGATATGAGAATGCATTTTGAAGTACCACCAATTATATGCATGAAAAATGATTAATGTGTCGCCAATAATGAATGAATCAAACAGGAAATAAATAATTAGTAAATTAATCTATTCTGTTTTCGTAAAACTTCAGGTCGGAGGTAAGGTAGTGAATTAAGTAAGCAATTGAAAGAACTGAACACCCATTCCAATTATGATAAGTTAATATTGATGATTAAATCCAATCAGGCTTACCAATTAAATACTGTAGTTTAATATCATCTTAATGCTTCAGTCACTAAATAAGGACCTTATACAAAAGTGCATTATAACATCAAAACAATTTACCATAGTGAATTCATTTGAAAAGACTTTGATAACATAAATTAAAATGATTCTTTCTGTTATTTAATTAAAATATTGTTAACTAAAACTTTCAATTTGGTCCTCGCAAACAGGTGGAAATAAATCATTGACAATGCCACTTTGTCCTGTGTAACTGCAATAATTAAAATAGAAAATTGTAACCCGATACAAATTACTTTGTATTAAATATTATTTAGGATATGACAAACATTGCAATAGGATTAGGCAAGTATATATACACGCATACACACACACACATATATATATATATATATATATATATATATATATGTGTGTGTGTTTACAAAGATTTAACAAATTGCAATGTCTGACATAGCCAGACCCTTATGAAACAAGCAACATTATTAGTGAACAGAATGGTATATAAAAATTTGGCAATCTATATGTTTTCTTTTTGTACTTACGATGACTGAAACGTCTGAGTTAATTCATGTTTTAATTCTCCACGGTGATTTATTGTAAATATCCTCATTATTGGAATGCCAACAGCTCGATAAGCCCATACATCCTATTTCAAAATAAAATCAGAACTAATAAATAGAATTTTGATTAGATTTTATACATTCATAAATATAAATTATTAAATACATTTATTCTGTTTCCATATCCTGCATAAAAGGGCTTTGTATCAGCAGGAAACAGTGCTTGAATGTCATTTAGACATGATATTTTAAATTGTTCTGGCTTCTTTTCTATTACTTCTCTATGAAAAGCACTAATTAATGATGTGGGATTTAACAGTAAAGGTCCATCTGGTAGAGATAAATCATTTTGTTTTATAGATTTTAAGTATTCTCTCGTTCCCTAAAAATAATAGTTGTATATAATCAAGAAACTAGTTAAACTTATATAAAAGAGCTAAAATCAACCTTTGCTTGTCCAATAGCTCTTGATGAAAGATATAATAATTTATAACCATTATTTTTAATTTTAGTAAATAATTGTGCAACTCCACTTTGAGCCCAGTCCTTTCCTACAATTGGCAAAATATGTCCCAGAACATCTGACCTGAAGAAATAATGAAAATTTAATACAAATTTGAGAAAAAACACTAAATACAATATTTACTTTGTGATTGTGCCATCAATATCCGAAATCACAACTTTGTCATTATATTTCCACCTGTACATATAACACTTGCATCTGCTTGTACCTTGATATGCTGTTGTAACACTGAACACAACTTCGTTTATACCTTCGTTCAAGTTCAGCCTTTGCTGTAATAAGAAACATTATATGCATGTAATTAAAAAATATCTGGAGTATTTTATTTTGCAAAACAATATATGATCTGATTACTGTAAAGTATTTGAAGAAGTCAATAGCAAAATTTACTAAATTGTATGAAAGATTATGAGTAATATTTTCATAACATCTGCATAGAAATGACAATATAGCATGCATATTTACAACTTAAATGCATAGAAATTAAAGCGAATTTAAATATGTTGCTTATATATATCATGCTTATAACATATTATTCACTATTTAATATTTGATTTCAAAATGGTCATATTATGCTTTCGAGGTCATATGCTGAGCAAAAAAATTGAACTTTTAAAAATGTAATGAGACACCAACTATTTGTTCACTGCTGAGACGTAATGTTTTCCGGTATTTTTCAGGTAGAGGACGAGATGAAGCTATTTGAATTTGTGTTGATTGAGCAGTATCTGGATCTGACTCCTCAGAACTCTGAGATCCACTGTAACCATCTTCCTTATGTTCAGAACTCGTTGTTGCTGTTACAGTTTCAATCTCTGTATCTGCTGGTGCTATGTAAGCTCCTGTTTGGGTAGAAACTGTAGAATCCTGAACACCTATATATATTAATATATTTATTTATTTATATATTAATATGTCATCAATAAAAATGCCTAAGTGAAAAAGTCTGAACAACATGATCAATTGTTTGCAATAATATTAATATGATAGATTCCGAAATGTCTTAAAATGAAATATAGATATAAACCATATTTACCTGGTATATCAATGCTGACATCATTAGGTGCCTGATTATCTTCAGGCTCTGCTTTAGCCGAAGAGTCAGAAGTGTCTATTGTGATGACTGTTTTATCTGGACTATCCTCTTTAAGCATGGTCTTTGATTGTGATTTATCAGCAGGCCTACGCCAGTACCACCAAGATAATCTTCCATCATTTTTTGTTGTATCGTTTCCATTTTCTGTTTTCTCATTGCTGCCATCATTGGTCAAGCGCATCTGATCAGAGCAGAGCCTTTCTATGGCAGTCTATAAAAAAAAGTGCTTTCAGATATCTATTGTTTCATTATTTTAACCGAAAACATAAAAGCTTAACAATTAAGAAAATCAAAGAGCATAAAATAAGAGATAAATAGAAAAAAACCAACAAACATTACTGTTCTAAATTAAAACATGTTACTTAAATAGGCATAACAGATGCAGTAAGTTAAATTTTTCTGATTATCGAGATTACAACAGATTTTAATCGCAATAAATGCAAGTTAAATATAACAAGGGTAGTTGACGACTTAAAAAAAAGATGTTCTTCAGAGATACTTTTACAAAAAATTATTTAATACAGTTAATTCAAAAAGTTATTTAGTCATTTTAAAAAATAAGAAGATAACAATGACACATGGTGATATTAGTAGGGATTATTTAAATTTAAATTTAATAATCAACAAACAGAATACATATTCTTTGTATTAATGAGTGCCATTTGATTTTCTTCTTGTCAACCACCCCAGCTCAGTTTTATTAAGATTGTTTAGTTTTACCTGGGGTAATGGTTGCTGATATACAAGCAAAGTCATCACAATTGGGCATGCGGTTTTCCAGTTATAGTATTTTCCACCAAGTTTGACAACTACATTGGGACTTTCTAAAACATGGGGGTTTTGACATACCTCATTATATGATACTATGTGTCTTTGGAATTCGTCATCAGACGGTCCTTCTCTGCTCAGGCCACCACAAAGAGAAATTAAAATTTCCTCTGAGCCCCTAAAATAATTAACTTAAATTAGTATGATTTGCAAAACATAAATAAATTGAAAAGATAATGTTAATATTTAAGTGAATTGAATTTATTTACTTTTATAAAAACCTAACAACAATCTATATCATGATGAGATAAAAATTGGTACCACAGATATTAAAGAGGTATTATAGTGTAAAAAATAAAAAAAATCGATTTTTTTCAACATTTTCAAAGTTTAACTATTTAAGAATATGTGTGTAGGATAGATTTTTTTTAATTTTAATTTTAGGAGATACAGCATGTTTGACCAGGATAATCCTCTTCTGTTTCCTTCCCTTTGCAAAATGTTAAACGCGTTTTTCTCAAAACTGTCTTTTCCAAAACGATGCCCACGATTTCACGAATTCTACTGGACCGATTCACTTAAAATGTTCAGAAAATCTTTTTTATAGACTTCTCGCAAGCCTCATCCCCAAATATCATTTTCTGCGATAAAAAATCGATAAATGCAAAAAGGTGGTAAAATGGTCCTTTTTTTCAAACAGTCGTCATTCTCTCTTTGCGACTTACTCCGAAGTTGAATGCTATTTTAACTGAGCTATCATAGTTAAGATCTTGCTCGCAACAAAGAAACAATTTATATACACAGCGCAAAAGAAAATGAACCACTTACTTGTCATTGTTTCTAGAATCATCAAAATCGAATCAGCGCTCTTACATCCGGCGCTGGTGCTATCTTGGCTACTTGGCGACTGAGTCAGTGAAGGTCCATTGCCCGATTCGTAGCCCTCCTCGCGCAGTGTTCGACTGTCGATCGATGTGTCGGCGTCCTGCTTTTTATTGTTTATTTGCGCCTGAGGAAAATACATGGCAGCTACGTCCGGATCCAAATCGCGTGCAGATAAATCAGCTAAATATAATCCTTCTACGGGTGTCTTCTGAGCACGCAGACGCTTCGTTTGCTTCATGAAGCTGAACATACCGCTTAGCATGGAATTACGTTCGGCCTGCTTAGCTTCCTCGGCTTTGCCGTTTTCTAGTGTCGTTTGTTGGGAAGCAATACTCTTTGGAGGCGGCGATGGCAGTTCACCCCATAGCCACGACTGGGGCTGTACGGTCTCGCTGCGTGATGAACTATTGCTGTTTTCGGTTTGGAAATGTCGTTGGGACATTTCAAATTCCGTGTCCGATTGAACTGGTGTGCAGGGCCGGGAACCGCGAGGACTGTGGACATATCGACATTATAATTTATATTCAAGGTATAGGTATTAATTCTAACAAAACCGTCACATGCTACGTAACTATTACAAGGCCTCATTTTTCGTATTTTTTAATTCGTTAACTATTTTAACAAAAATATAACATAACACAACATTGTAAAGCTTTGGAATAAATTCATTTGCACATTGCAACATTGGTATAAGAATTTGTCAATAAATACAGTTCGTTTATGATATGAAAATTTATTGTAGAGAAACGGAATAAAATCTTCCACAACTAAAATTCAATTGATAAAGCATACTGATGAATACGAAAGAATGAACCCAATTAATACATTTTGTTTAACTTCCGAAGTGTATGTTTTCTCCAGAAAATCCGATTTTTTCAATTTCAACACACAAAAATTATATAAGTTTTCTATAAAATTCGCAAAAAAGTGCAACATTTTTCGTCAATGCTTTCGCAAAAACCCCTGAACCAATTTTAAAATTTTAGCAACCGTGCTGATAAGATTTTAGTAAAGATCGGTCGAGCCCTTTCTTCGTAATTGTTTACTGAGACTTTTTTGACAATATTGATCAAATTATGCTTAATTATATCGTTTATGGCCTTAACAAACATCCTAAAAATATTATAGACATACGCAAAGTGGTTTAAATACGAAAATTGAAAAAATATAATGTAAATATAAGTTTTCAAGTTACTACATTCACTAAGTAAATATTTTAATGTTTAAAATCTAATACCTTACACACACGTAAGGTCTGCTTCCTCCTGCGTGTTGCATGCTAGCAAATTATTTAAAAGAGTTTAAAGATTTTGGAAACTTGAGCATACTAAGTTTAAACGCAAAATATGAAGTTTACTAAGTTAAACATGAAGTTAAATGATCAATAAATATGATATTAAGCATTGAACTAAGGATCTTCTCCAACCTGCAACCGGCTCAGATGCACACGCACATAGACACACACACGCACACACACACACACACACACATATATATATATATATATATATATATATATACATATTGAAAAAAATAATGCATGATCCCATTTTGTAAACATTAGAAAATAAATTGAAACATGATTATAAAATAAATTTAATTGAAAATAATCAAAACTGCCTATTAAATTATATATTGTTACTATGAATTTAAATAATAAAATTTACCTCTGTGCTGAAGACACTTCTGTATCGCTGAAAAAATGTATATCGGGATCCCGTATTCTAGACTGCGTATCGCACGTTTCAATCGTCATAGATTGGGACATGATAGACTTCTCGCTGGCTAATTTAGCTTCGCGAAAGAAGGCGCTATCTGCTTGTGACGATTCGATCTCTTGCTCTGAATGCACAGAACAACCAGAACTGCTATTAGAGTTTTTGCGCTGGGAATTTTTCTTTTTCATTAAAGAACGTTTTCTTCGCCTCTTTTTACTACCGACTGCACCGTTCGATCTACCGTTGTCCTCTGAATGAAGCGTTGGATCCTCCGAAGTATCGGTTTTGTTCACATTAACTTTTAAATTTTCATTCTCTTTATCATTAAGGTTTTCCTAGAAAATCAAGAATACATATATCATCCGTGCCGCTCTTACTTTTTAAAATTATATCAAGTTTATGTTTTCGCCAGGAAATCCGATTTGTATATTTTATGTTTTATCAACGAAGTAATTCTGAATCGAATGAGACCAAATTCGAACAAAAAAATTGTGTGTGTGCTTCCGCGTGTGTATATGTGATACGATTTTTGACCTTCTGTCGACGATTTTTTAAGAACAGAGAAACGTAGCGTAACTACTAATTACAGTTGACGCCCAAACTTTAATAAAATACATTTTTAAAAAACGAAATTTTGAAATTACAGATATTATAAATATGTTTATCAGACATCAATTGGAAATCGTATTGATTATTTTTAGCAAAAGCTAATTGGATCGTTGAACATTTTTACCTTATTATATATACGTATCGGAAAGTTCATGTAACTTGCTTTAAGGCAAAATGGCACGTACAACTAGTTCAAAATAAAATTATAAACAAATCTGTAATCTAATGAATATCCGCGACTTCAAATTCTAGAGATATTTAGAAATGTAAATAAACATTTCTAATTGGTAGTATATGTTTCATTTACTTAATAGATTAATAATTTTGTAATTTACAAACGCAATCATTTCCAGTGTTATTGTCTAATAAAGCATTACGAGCACAGGCCTCGCTTTCGATTGCCTCGCTTTCGATTGCCTCGCATAAATCAGATAATCTAATTGTTTGCTTCTAAACATTTGGCTCCAATGGTACAACGGTACAAGACTAACATGTACTACTGAAACTCTTGGTTGCTAAACATATATGTTATGAAACCATCATTCAAGCATTTTAAATTGTTTTAAAACCGCTGTATTCAACGTTTTTGGGAGTGCAAATATTGGTTTTAGAACGAGCACCATAAATAAACTGATGAACTCACATTGATTGGTACAAAGTCGCTAGTTTGAGGTAGCACCTTCCGTTCTCGATTCTGCGCGCAATCATCGGCTATGGTCTCAGCTCTGAATGTCTTCGGCGTGGCGGATAAAGTTATGGTCGAAGATTGTTCTGGATCGACAGGATACATGGAATTCACAACGTTGAGATGATCATCTATTTGAAACATTTCTATGTGTTGACTTTTGCCATTGCCGCTTCCATTGTGATCAGCCTGTGCCGCTTTATTGGCGGCCATCTGTTGCTCATGTTGTTCAAGTCGATCTTTGATATACTGCTGTTGCTGCTGTTCCTGAAGCTGTCGATCGCGACGCTTTTCCGAGTCTCCTCCGTCGGTATATCTACGATGTGAATATGCCGACGGCTGATTTAACTGAAATGACATTGTTAAATTTTATTATTTTCATCACAACTAAGAAATAATTTATTTTTATACATTTTGAGAAGTAGGTGTTATAATATATGAATAAAATGTTTAAGTCAATTGCATCGTAATTTTGTCTTCTTCATTAATAATTTCTAATGAAAATTTTACATTGCGATTTATCTTCAGAAATAATTAGATTGCATTCGCATGTAATTTTGTTAAAACGTTATACCCAATATATAATATATCTAATAATTCTGCATCATATTGTATCAGAACATCACTTGTTTTTAACTACTTGTACAAATGATGGCTAATATATTTAGTAATATATTACTATATTTTGAAATAAACGTAAAAATAATAAGTACAGCTACAATATATTCGAAACTTTTCTAGTATATCGGTATAAAAAGTTCATATATATTACCGAATTTTCATCAAAAAATTCAGGTGTAACATCAATAGATTTCCTCCGGAGTCGTGGACAAAGCAATTCTTGTTCACCATCATAAAGGCTTGGGAATTCAGTAACCGTAATTGGAGAAGTAGCCAAATTTTCAGGAACTGTTTCATCTTCTTCATACACACCTTCTACAAAAAAGGCTTCTCCAGATTCTCCTAGTTTCATGTGAATATCCCGGATTTCTCCGTTGATTTCGATGTCCACCTGTAATTTTTTTTTCTAATTATATATAAAGTACTTATATCTGTATAGTACTTTATGCAAGCACTATTAACAAAATACAGAGTTTTAGAAATATGAACTGATTCAAACCAAAACTAATTCAAAAAGCCACATAAAGTAAATTTTATAAAAAGTTGTTACTTGTTTAATAAAAGAAATATGCTTTATAATTGATAAACAATATAATGATTAAAACGAATACAATCGCCTAATGTCAACAAATCTCCTGTTTTAAACAAAATGTACCTCATATTTTCTAAAAATAAACTTCTCAATAATAATTAAATTTGATTTACTTAGATTCGACAATTACCTTTTCCTCCATTATATAAGTTCAATATCCTATATCACCCTCATTTATTAATACTAACAATTTTAACAAAACAATATGTGTATATAATTTTTTTAAAGTGATTCAATTTCGGTTTGAGTGAAAAAATGTAATCGAGTATTTTTTTGTTTAAAATGAAAATTCGACAATATATTCGTGCACTGACGTTGTGAGTAAAATAAAAAAATAACGATCAAGTTTTGTAACAAGTCTCTTTTGATAAAACATTAAGTTGATCACCAAACGTGCAATAATCCAGTATATTCGAGTGCTACAGTTTCAATGCTTCTTCAACAGTTGATTACAAATATTGTAATAGGTTTTATATAATTTTGCCAGATCAATAATAAAATATTCATATAATAAAATATAAAAATTTGGAATGCTATTAGATTATCAGTCATATTTGATAAAACTATATGCATATATCAAAGATTATGACATGTAAGAATTAGAGCTAACTCTGAAATAAAGGACTCATAAGATCATTTCAAAAATCCATAAACAATATTCTGAATGACAATATATTAGTACTAATTAAGGACTAATTATATTAAATATCATATCATATTTGATCAAATGTTTCTATCCTGCTTAAGGGTTTACATATACATGGTACGATTTTGCAGAGTCATGATGGTACTGGTTATGAACACTAACCATGAATCTATGATTTTCAAGGTATGCCAAAATAATTAGAAGCTAAAAAAGTATCGTAACTTAAGATTTTCATTTTTCGACAATTTAACCAAGATCAAGTTAATAATAACTTTCTAATAATTTAAATAATAAGTAATGCATAATTTTGTAATATGCTCTAAAATTGTTATGTTCATTCAAAAGCATACATAATTTTTCTTAATGTTCATAACCAGTACCATCATGACTCTGCAAAATCGTAATATGTATATGTAAACCCATAAGCTTGATAGAAAAAACACTTGATTAAATATGATATGATAGTTAATATAATTAGTCCTTAATTAGTACTAATAAATTGTCATCCAGAAAATTGTTTATGGATCTTTAAAATGATCTTATGAGTCCTTTATTTCAGAGTTAGCTCTAATTCTTACATGTCATAATCTTTGATATATGATGTATATAGTTTTATCAAATATGACTGATAATCTAATAACATTCCGAATTTTTATATTTTATTTTACCATTTATTATTTCGTTATACTGTTGGTATTATATCAAAATATTCTATTAATTTTTTGATACCTAATCCCACATATATTTACTTAATATAGTTAATTTGTGATTATCATAATACAAAGGTTCTCTATAAAATCGAAAATTTTTTCATCCTTTTAATTAGTAAAATGCTAAATTGAAAAAAATCTTCAAAAATCTCTGAAATTATTCAAACTAAAACTAAACTATTCCTTGAATTAAAATAAGATCTGAAGGTAAATATATTTATCACATAGTATTTCTATTTAGAAAAAACTAAAATCAAAATTAAGCTTAAATTAAGGCAAACACATACATCTATTCATAAACAAAAAAACTTCTAGCACGAGTCTACAATTTACACAACTTGAGTTATTAATAAGTAGCATAAGAGAATAAAAGGTGATGGAAGGTATGCGGGTAAAACTTTTTACAATATATTAAGATTTTGGTTCGGTCAATATGGGCTTATTATCTATAAATATAACAAAAGGATGAATATCTGTTAGCTTGCATGCACTGAACTCACCAGTTTCTCCTTGCTGCGCAGTACGCCAAGTTTTCCAAACCGCACGTGAAAAGGGGAGCAGGTGAAGGCTCCATCGGGTTGCTCTACTACGACCACGTCGATTGCACCAGTGAGTGTCGCTGCATTGATGTCATTGTAGAACTCGCGAAAGTTCGAGATCATACGACCTATGCTGTACATCCTGACGGGATCGAGCGCGAGACCGCCTCCTTGCAGCGCCGCTCAACGCACAACTGCGCGGATATACAAACAAATATATAACAAGTGACATTTTTGCGCTCTATTCAATATTCTATATACATATAGTATAGTATATTTGAATCTGTACACACATACAAGAAACAAGCAATTATTTTATCCTCCTAAAAGCAACGCACATACGAATGGTGACGACGACGTAATATCGATTCGAGCCAGTTCAAACTTCATCAACTAGATAATACATGATAATGCCACAGAGTACTTGAACACTGCACTCTATATTGTTAATACGATCACTATGACGCAATTTTATACAGAGCGATCCGTTAGAAGGTTTTTCCACCAAATTCGATTTTTGATGGAACGCTGGTATTGGGCGTTGATCATTTACACCAGTTATTCCCAAACTTCTTTCACTTACCGCCCCCTTTTCAGGAAAAATATTACTCAACGCCCCCTATTTTTTTTCATTTCAATAGCAATTAATAAGGTATATAAAAATTATTGTATCTGTTAAAGATAAATTGACGAATAAGAAACCAATTTTGATAGAGTACGCTATTTTAATAAATCATAAAACATTCGGAAAAAAATTGCACCATCAGTGAATTTCAAAATTTCTAGGCCCTCAGGTCACTGTATTGAATTTTTCAGACATTACGGATATATTTGTAATGAAATTCAATTACAATTGGTACATCACTGCTGACGGAAAGATTTTGCAAAACATTTTATGATTTATTTATTAAAATAATGGACGTTGTCAAAATTAATTCTTTACTCTTTCAAAAGAAGGTTGTAAAATAACATCAAAGTTTGAAATTATAAAACTATATTCAGATTAAAGATACAATCATTATAATTTTAATGTAAAGGATGAATCTGGTGTGCTGCTACCAATTTAGCAATTTTCGGTTCTATCTTCGTCAAAATCTTAAATCACCACGATCGACTATTAGTAATCGGTTTCTTTTTTTGTTAAAGTTACAGCGAATCTACGTTCCACTAATGATATATGTAAGATGACGGAAATGCAATCAGAAATTTTTCAATGATAGAACAAATTTGTGGGTAAGCCATCGGGATCCTATTTTGCAGCCAGAATTGTTGGTAGCTATTTTAGAATTTAAAATTCAATTCATCATTTGTTATTATCTCTATCAATTCTTTTTGTAGCTATGAAGAATCTTCTGTAATTACACTCATAAAAGGATCGAAAATCCAATCAAGTTTGTTAATTTGTACAATATCTTCGAAATCAAAATCACTATTCCAAAAATTGGGCGTTGAATCTCAATCCATGAGCCTTAAGCTCAACGGTGTTGATGAAATTTCAACGAAATTGTATAATTTTACAAATTTAGAAGTATTTAATAAAGATGATACATTTGTAAAAATATAAATGCCTTAGTGCTTAAGAAAATATCAAGTTCACCCGCGCGGCGAATCCAAATTTCTGATCTAAATATTCCTAATGGATTAACATTTTCGGATCCACACCTCAATATCCCGCGCGAAGTAGATATATTGATAGGTCTTGATACGTTTTTTGAAACTTTACGTAACGAAATAATTATTCTAGGTCGCGATAAACCTATTTTACAAAACTCGGTTACGGGTAAATATCAAACAAATATAATTAATAGCAAGGCAAGTAATAATCATATATCCGTCACAGAATCTCTTACAGAATTTGGTACAGTTACACGTGTTGAAAAGTTACACAAATTGTCGACTCACAGAGAAAGTATGAACCATCGTTTTCAGAAAATACTGATAAAAAAATAAAATATTTTAAATCAACTTCCTGTAATTATGGTACGCACCATTTCTTGCACAGACACGTTTAAACATTTAACTTTTGACAAAGATCATAACTTTCGTTTAGCGGCAGATGGTTTTGCGCAATTGGACTATGCCAATTTAGGTTTAAAGTAGTAAATACATACTAAGAAAATTTAAAAAGTTTCAGTTTTAATAATAATTGCAAACATGTAGAGTAATTGCAAATTACGTAATGTATTTTTACGATTGCAACATTGTTCTCGAAACGAGATAAACGGATAGAAGTCGCAAAGTTAAAATCGGTTTTACAAGCTTTTATGCAACAAACAGATCACTCGCATTATTTATGAAGATGCTTCAGATCCTTTCAATCTATCACGTAGCCGATTTTTAATTACACGACGCGTTAACTGATTTATGAGTATTTTAAAATAATAGCTACATTATTCAACCAATGCAAAATATAAATTTTGATGAGAACATTTTTTACAGGGATAACATTGTAAATTATCTTGATATTTCGTCAGAAATAGTCCTCAGCAGAGTTGGAATAATTATTTATCTCTTGTAAAATTGCTCTTTTAACTTGATTTAGTTTTGTATTTTTTACACCTTTGCTCAGTTGGTCCAATTCACCCAACCCAGGTATAAGCTTTTATAGAGGTTATATAGAAAAAACTGTTGAATCTAACCTAAAATTACCAATACATCTTATAAAACAATTAAATAACGTATACTTAAAAATTATATTAAGGTCTCGCAAACAAAGTCGATAACTTTTGAGTTATTGGAGGTGAATATTTTAATAGCAAACCTTTAAACCCCGCTCTACCTTATATAATATAACGTGTTTAATCGAGTTTTTACAATTGGCTGTTCAATTTTTGGAAAACGTTGAGGTTAGTTCAAAATTCAGCAATCATTCACAATAACATAGGAGTAAAATGTAGATAAGTTAAAAAGCAATTTACTTGGACTAACTCAAAATTATTGTCTATTAATTTGATTATTTTCAAATATAGATATATTCATTATCAATTCAATATGATATGACAAAATAAAACCTAATGAGCAACTAAAATTTACCAGCTGTCAAATACTCTTACCTAAATACAGGAGAATAAAATCTAACTTATTTTAATTATTTGAAAAATAAGCTTTTATAAATCCTATTAAATAAAAAAAACAATTATTTTTTAAATTAATTCCTTTTTATATATTTTATTCTTGTCTTTTTGCAATCCATCAGCGTCTTTATTCTCATTATTTTCCTAATACTATTATGAACAACCTCGAAAAAATAACCATCATAATTCTATCAGAAAAGTTTTATTTTGCCAATATTACATCATATTAAAACCTAATACAAATTTATTAATCCTGACTAATGTTGTTTGCCATGATACCTAAAATATGTTAACAGAGAATGGGATAAGTACGAACATTTCTATATATATAACTTTCCTAACTAGAGAAAGACACACTAAACAAATACATTAAAACAAAAACAAAATAACATATTAAACCAACATTTTTTGGTTAAACAGGTTATAAAAATTAAGAATAAACTACGAGTACTACTCGTAGAAAAACTAGAAATTTTCCAGGTTAGTAAAGGTAACCACCTTAAGGAAGTCGGGCCTTAAGAAAACACATCAAGTCTTACAAAATTTATTATTATTCTTTCTAGTAAAATGTAAAAAAATGAAAACAAATTCTGAAGTCAGATCCTTCTAAAGTCCACATTTTTTCCTTAAGAAGAAATGGTCGGATAATTGGTATTAAAATTGTATTTAAAGAAAGAAATAAGTTTTGAGAGCATATAGCTTTAAATTATTTAGGATTGTTGATTGATGAAGTATGTTGATTCATTCTCTTAGAAATGTATTGGAAACTTATAACTTCTAATATAGTAACAATTACGATCATGCCTTCACCAAAAATAAATGATCTCTGAACATTGACATTTAAAACATTTAAATCGTTTCAGCAGTGCTACCGAAAACGTAGTTTCAACACATAAAAAAATATACTTCATTTTCGAATGTAGAATGCAATGTTAAAACGTTTTGTAAAAATAGTACCAATACTTAATTTAGTTATTAAAATTGTAAAAAAGTCAACTCCTAATTGTAAAAGTTAGTTAACGAATTTTCACTTAAACTGCTAAAATATTAAATCTGCTAAAGATTTGTAACTTTTCAGATAAAAAATTGTTAGCTAATTACAAGAAAATATTCAACAATCTTTATACGAAACTAATTATTTCAAATTAAGAATTTATAAAACACATCTGGGATAATGTTGAAGGCACACCACGACTGCTGTTCAGTTTCTACTCTAAAGAGCATTAGATTTAAAAAAAAAAAAGATGCAATATAAGAAGCAATTGAGCGAGTACAAACTTCTGCTTCGGAATGCTAGGGTGAGTAATAATTTTCAAAATAATATTAAGATTTTTTTTTTCTTTATGCACTCAATAATAATAATATGACAAAGATTTGAAATGAAACAATAAGAGCCCTTGAAAAGTGTTACGGTAAGAACTGTTTCCGCTCTAAAATCCAACTTTAAAATTCGAAACAAAAGTATGAACGAGTACATCGATTCTTACATATTTGCTGATACATCTGGTATGAATGAAGAATATGAATAAACGTTTATTTACAATTCGAAGCGGAAAAGATAATATAAATTAAGTAATATCAGGAATAAAAGATCACACAAAATTTCAAATAATATCAATGCCGGCAATTGTTGAAGCCCATATATTTTCACAAGCCTAAAGAGTTATCATAGATGTTAGATATAAATGAATAAACGCTTTGCCTCGCACCCACCTATATAAATATAGCACAATGTCAACAAACGAACTAATAGACTGCCACACTTCACAAAACAACTTATTTTGTTAAATCGTTATTCCGCGACGATCTGTTATGTGTGCAAAACCGCGACCGGCCACGGTCATATTCCATATGCAAGCGGACTTCTGTTTCGTGCATAGATAATTTGTTTTCGTACAACATTCAACATAATTCGTCAGTGCTTGATCGTCTGATGATCATAACAGACCGTTGACCCATTTGCATCATATGTTTTGCGATGTCGCAACTCGGCGCCGCGTTCGAGCGTCCGTCCCATCGTCCCATCGATCAGAATTGACGTTGCTCGGGCTGATGAACGTTCGTATTTCAGTTTTTTTTTGTTTTTATAAGATTTTTTATTACATTTAATATGAACAAAT